TCTCTGTCACACTGAGCCTCAGGTAGGTCACGAGGATACCAACAAGAGGGGAAAACCTTCTTGATCTCACCATCACCAATCTACTTGTTGCAGGTGCATTTGTCCAAGACGGTACTGTTAAGAAATGACCACCGTAAAGTTCTTTATGGAGACAAAGTCCAGTCTTCACATTTGGATTATCATCCATCATGTGGAGTGGCACTATCACAGTGCCAATGGGATGGATTTAAAACAAATCTAACAGCTCAGAAATGTGATAGGGTGCAGTGGGTCATCAGCAGCAACACAATTAGTTTCAACCACAATCTGTAACCTCAAAATAAATAAATATATATATTTAAATATACCCTACAAAAGTTTCCAATAAACACTGCATCAGCAGTAAGTTTATCATAAGGTAACAGGAGCACACGCAGGAGCCCTTGAGGATTTTTGATCTTTGTTGAATCAAATCACATTGAAACTCTCCACATAACTCATTCAATGAATGGCTTGTACACAATCTTATGAAAACATAATTCACACATCAACACAACATGTCTTCAAACAGGCAAAAGCACCAGTGCATCATGAGATTCTTAAAATAAACTTTCAAAAATGGGAAAAGGATCAGGGAAATAGGGAATTGTTCACATATAACCCACCAAAACAAGTTATAATCATTCAGTTTATTCAGCAGATATATAAATGTATTACCTTGGGACTAAAAGAGATGTAATTTGAAATGGACCTGTTAAAACAGGATCAGCCGGAAGTAATTTCTCTCCCTAAATATAATCGATTTCCTTTATTGCGTTTCTGGTATTCCATGAAGTGACCTTCAAATTCCTATGGAAGGACCTAAAATTATTTAACATTCCCAAACTGCTGATTTGAACTCTTCAAAACTGTGAAGTAAACAAAATATAGCTTTTGGTTGTAACAGTTTGTCAACACATTAAATTTATTGCTGTCCAATCATCAAATCATTTTGGTGTTCCATTACAATTCAGGGAATTCCAACAACTACGTGTAAAATTAATTACTTGGTTTTTCCGATCTTGAACTCTACAACTCTCTCTTTGTATAGATTTCATTTATTCTGAAGTAATTGCGAGGACCAAAAAATTACAAATCTGACTGATTTTTAACCTGGCACTTAAAGAAACCCTGCTTCCAGCTCTGATAATTTGCACCATATGTTATTCATGCTCACACTTTGATATATTATTCTTCTGGATCTTGCCAAATGTTCAATGTAAGGATGCTGAGAGTATTTAGATAAAGTGACCTTTTTAGATAAATTGCACATTTTAGAAACACAATACAAATTACAAATACTAAAAGTGCAATACTTTATCATAATTGCAGGTTTTTACAATGTTCACCATTTCCAGCAAATCAACTAGCAGCTCCAGTTCTTCCAAAGTTAACGACATTAATCTCATCTGAACTGAAGTGGTTTCGCACCCCACACTTCAGAGGTTGCACATCAATTGCTGTTATTAACATTGGATATATAATTTTTTAAAAAAAATCAGGGTCACCCTGGGTGTGTTGGGAGAAAATGACTAAACTGACATACTGCCAAACTGACATGGTGGTTTAGAGGTCAATTTATTTTCTCAGCATTATAGACTGTGGAGGCTCTAGTCATAACTCAAAACCTTAACTAATTAGATGATATCAGTTGGAGTGAGAGTAGGTGGGCAAAAATAAATCTCAGCAAACCAGAACTACAAAATAAAACCTGTTCCAGACTTCTATCCATCACCAACTGCTAGAAAAGTATGTGTGCATGAATGACTTTAAAGTGATATTCAAATGAACAAAGGCGATTAAAAAGGTGTAGGAGCAAATTACTGCAGATGCTGAAATCTGAACTGAAAACAACAAATGGTGGAGATTACAGTGGGTCAGGCAGCATCCATTGAGGGAAAGCAAACCAACATTTCGAGTCCAGATGACTCTTCATCAGAGTGGTCATGAAGTGTGGAGGAACTTCTTTCAGGTTATGGAATGCACAGCCTGGAAATACAGTGGCAGTAAGTTCAGTTGAGGTATTCAAGAGGGCATTGCATGATTACTTGGATAAAAATTGGAAAAGATAGGAGATTTTTCACTAGGTAATACAATGAAGATACAATGCACTGAATGGCCTCCATCAGTGCTCTAACAAATCTGTGGTTCTGTGATTCTAACTGAGAATTTGATCAGGTTTAAACATCATGTTCTTCACTGTCAAGCTACCTACCAACTAACTGAAATCAGATAATTAAAAATCACTCGGGTGCAGGAAGTAGGCTGCAAGTAGAACCAAATCACAGCAATTTCACGTTTTCTAAAAAAATCTGCTTAAAATCAAGCACTTTGAAACCATGCAGAGGGATAAGGGTTACCCCAATCAGATCATTGCCTGCTGCGTATTGGGACTATTCGTGAATAGTTACCACTTTCAGCCCTGACTGTCTATTTCAAATTACTTTGGAATGGGAAAGTGTCTCAAAATTTGCGCAACGGGTGACATTTCTACAATGCAGTAAAAACTTAATACATGTTTATAAAATCATGAGGGGCATGGATAGCTTGGTCCTTTTACTGTAGGTAGGGGAGTCCAAAATTAGAGGGCATAGGTTTAAGGCGAGAAGGGAAAGATTTATAAGGGACCCGAGGGACAACTTTTTCCACGCAGAGAGTGCAGCGTGTATGGAATGAGCTGCCAGAGAAGCAGTGGAGGCTGGTACAATTACATTTAAAAGGCATTGGGATGGATACATAAATAGGAAGTGTTTGTAGGGATTTGGGCCAAATGCTGGCAAATGGGACCAGATTAATTTAGGATACTGGTTGATGGACAAGTTGGAATCGAAGGGTCTGTTTCCATGCTGTGCATCTCTGATTCTATTAATAGGAAGAACATGGGCCAAGTGCTGGCAAATAGGACAAGATCAGTTTAGGATATCCTGATCCGCATGGACGAGTTCTACCAAAGGCTCTGCTTCCATGCTGTATAACTGTAGTCAGAGTCAGTTCTGATGAAGAGTCACTGGACTTGAAAATTTAACTCTGCTTGCTTCTCACAGATGTTCCAAGACCTGCTGAGTTTCTCCAGCAATTTCTGTTTTTGTTTACGTCTTTTCTAGATCTATCCTATTTCCTACGCTCCATTCTAACATGGATCACCCTTTTGGTTCTTTCCTTTCTATCTCTTTCCTGACACTTGCTCAAAACCCTGAACAACTCTGTCGCTAGTTTTGATGAAAGGTCAGCAACCTGAAACATTAACTCACTTCACGTGAAGAGGATTGACTAGGGTAGAGCAGTGCATGTGATCTGTATGGACTTCACTAAGGCTTTTGACAAGGTTCCTCGTGGTAGATTGGTTAGCAAGGTGAGATCACATGGAATACAGGGAGAGCTCGCCATTTGGATACAGAACTTGTTTGAAGGTAGAAGACCTGGTTGGTGGTGAAAGGTTGCTTTTCAGACTGGAGGCCCGTTACCAGCAGTGTGACACAAGGATTGCTGCTGGGTCCACTGCTTTTTGTCATTTATATAAATGATTTAGATGTGAACATAGGTGGTATGGTTAGGAAATTTGCAAATAACACCAAAATTGGACATTTGGTGGACAACCAAGAAGGTAACCTCAGAGTACAATGGGATCTTGATCTGATTGGCCAATGGGCAGAGGAATGGCAGATGGAGTTTAATTTAGATAAATGGGAGGTGCTGCATTTTGGAAAGGCAAATAAGGGCAGGAATGATACACTTAATGGTAAGGTCCTGGGGAGGGTTGCTGAACAAAGAGACGTTGTAGTGCACGTTCATAGTTCCAGGTAGACAGGATGGTGAAGAAGCCATTTGGTCAGCTTGCCTTTATTGGTCAGTATACTAAGTATAGGAGGTGGGAGGTCATGTTGGGGCTGTACAGGAATTGGTTAGGCCACTTTTGGAATACTGTGTGCAATTCTGTTCTCCTTGCTATAGGAAGGATGTTGTGAAACTTGAAAGGGTTCAGAAAAGATTTACAAGAATGTTGCCAGGATTGGAGGGTTTTAGCTATAGGGAGAGGCTAAATAGGCTGGGTCTATTTTCCCTGGAGCATTGGAGACTGAGGAGTGACCTTAAAGAGATTTATAAAATCATGAGGAGCTTTGATAGGGTGAAGAGCCAAGGTCTTTTCCCCAGGGTAGGGGGATTCCAAATCTGAAGGGCATAGGTCTAAGGTGAGAGGTTAAAGATATAAAAGGGACCTTAGCGGCAACTTATTCACGCTGAAGGTAGTGCGTCTATGGAATGAGCTGCCAGCATAAGTGGTGGAGGCTGGTACAATGACAACATTTAAAAGGCATCTGGATGGGTATATGAATAGAAAGGGTTTACAGGGATATGTGCCAAATGCTGGCAAATGGGGAGGTGGTGGTCAGGTGTATTATTGCTGGACTGTTAATCCAGAGACCCAGGTAATGTTCTGGTGACCCAAGTTCGAATCCCGTCACAGCAGATGGTGGAATTTGAATTCAATAAAAATCTGGAATTAATAGTCTAACAATGACGATGAAACCATTGCTGATTGTTAGGAAAAACCCATCTGGTTCAGTAATGTCCTTTAGGAATGAAACTGCCATCCTGACCTAGTCTGGCCTACATGCCACTCCAGACCCACAGCAATGTGGTTGACTCTTAACTGCCCTCTGGGAATTAGGGATGGGCAATAAATGCTGGCCAAGTCAGCAATGCCCAAATCCCATGAATTAAAAAAAGGGACTAGATTTGGACGAGTTGGACCAGAGAGTCTGTATCTCTGTAAAACTGTACAACTCTGTAAGACAGTTTAAAAGTAATTCATCTGGTGGAAAGCATTTTGAGACATGTTTTATTTGTACATGTGCTCAACAAACTGCTGTTATTGGGTCGTGGTGCAAAGATATCAGCACGCAGATCTCTTAGTTTCTGCTGCGGGAACTGATGATTTAAAACAGCCGCATTCAATCGGTCCATACATCCCATCCCCTCACCTTCGAGTACATTCCGCTCTCCTCACTCGCAGCGGATCGTCGCAGCCGCTCTGACGAGCTGCCAAGAGGGTGAGCATCGCCGGAAGGTCCCAGCCATCTACATCAAACCAGCGGGGCCGCTTCTTATCCGGGCATTCGCTGATATAACATCCCGCGGAGGTGACTGAAACGACTCTGTGGCCCAGGACCCAGTCCGACGGCAAAAGAACCGGCGCTGGCCGTTCACATGGCAACAAAGACCGCCATCTTGGGAAGGAAATGAAGGTCGCAAAGAGACACCCTCTGATTGGCTACCGCGCTCCATCGCACCAATAGGATTGTTTTACACTGGGACGCGAGGTGGGGTGGAGATGCGAACCTGAACAAGTTTGGGACGTTGTTTAAAATCTCCCCTGTTCGGGGTCAAAGGCGGAGGCGCGATTATGAATCAAATCCGAACAGTATTGCAGAGAATGTTTGGGTTGGTTAAACATCACGTAGGGACTGATCAGTTTGGAAACAAGTATTATTATATTCCTGAGCAGAAAAGTTGGACTGGTGAGTAGTCATGGCTTGGAGTCCGTTTACTAATCGGGAATCTCTGCAGTGACCAGATAAACGTTAAAGACTAATTTTATTATAACGTTTAAGGTTCCAGCTTCTGTTTGGCCTGTTGAGAGGTTAATAAAACTGAAATGTCTTTGATGGTTTACTGACATGTGAGCGACTTTGAAATATACTCAGAAAATGCTCCGCAATTTGCCGTTTCCCTTTATACAAATTTTGAAGTCTTCATTTGAGCCATATGCAAAAGTCTGAATTTTCACACTACAATTTTTAAGCCGTATTGTTTCTCCCCTAGAGATGAGATGTAAAGGTTCATGTTCCAAGCTTCTTCCCTGTCTTTCTTTGAAGAGATGGGCAATTAGATCAGTGCGCATAGACATTGTCGATATGGATTGCAAGATAGCATTTGATAGGTTTGTGCAAAAGCGGTTCTTGGCATAAATTCCAGTACATTGACTTGAAGTGTCTTCTTGCCCGTTTATTTGCGAGAGTAATGATTAATGAATGGTCGCTCATTAGTGGAATATGGAAAGTGGTGTTCTCCAGGGCTTCAGATTTACTTTAACTATCTTATTTGAGAAGTACAGTCTTATTCTTGGGCAGTCTCTGGGGATTGCTTTCACTCTGCCTCAATTCAGTCTGGGATAGCTACTAAGTCCAGTGTGCAATCTGCAAAATGATGGATAGGTGGTATTTGAAGCACTGGGTATATGAGATGTTTGGAGTTTTGTGCATGGATACCTCAACTTTGCTTTTGCATGTTTCTAGTTCTTAGTGTCTTTTAGAACATAGAACAGTACAGCACAGTACAGGCCCTTCGGCCCACAGTGTTGTGCTGAACTTCTACCCGAAACCTAATGTCTATCTAACCTCCACCGCTACCATATACTATCATCCATATGCCTATCTAATAGCTGCTTAAATGCCTCTAATGAGGCTGACTCCACTACCCTCTCCGGCAATGCATTCCACGCCCCTACCACTCTGAGTAAAGAACCTACCTCTGTCGTCTCCCCGATATCTATTTCCACTCACTTTAAAACTATGTCCCATCGTAAAAGCTACCTCCACCCTAGGAAAAGGTCTCTGGCTGTCCACTCTATCTATACCTCTGATCATTTTGTACACCTCCTATCAAGTCACCTGTCATCCTCCGTCGTTCTAAAGACAAAAGCCCTAGCTCTCTCAACCTTTCCTCATAAGACCTTCCCTCCATTCCAGGCGACATCCTGGTAAATCTCCTCTGCACCTTTTCCAACGCTTCCACATCTTTCCTGTAATGAGGTGACCAGAACTGGACACAATACTCCAGATGTGGCCGAACCAGGCTTTCGTATAGCTGGAGCAGAACTTGACCGCTCTTGAACTCAATCCCTCTATTAATGAAAGCTAACACACCATACGCCTTCTTAACAACTCTATCCACCTGGGTGGCAGCTTTCAGGGAACTGTGGACGTGAACCCCAAGATCCCTCTGCTCCTCCACACTGCCAAGAATCTTTCCGTTAACCCTGGATTCTGCTTTCAAGTTTGTCCTTCCAAAACGAATCACCTCACACTTTTCAGGGTTAAACTCCATCTGCCACTTCTCAGCCCAGCTCTGCATTCTATCAATGTCCCCTTGTAACCTAGAACAGCCCTCCGCACTGTCCACAACGTGACCCACCTTCGTATCATCCGCGAACTTGCTAATCCACCCTTCCACTCCTTCATCCAAATCACAAATAGAAGAGGAACCAGAACAGATCCTTGTGGTACACCACTCGTAAGTGAGCACCACGTTGAATATTTTCCATCCACTACCACCCTTTGTCTTCTAAGGGTCAGGCAATTCTGAATCCAATCTGCCCGTATGAATGAACGTTTCCATTTTGTTGGTGAGTTTTGAAATGGGTGTTTGACCTCCCCAGCACGTAGGAGAAACTCTAAGGATGTTGTTATTGCCTTCGTTGTTTGATGGAATAGGTTGGTGCTTTTTATTGGTTTCTCTGTTTTGTGTATTTGCTTAGCATGCTTCTGCTTTCTTTTTTACTTGCTTTGCTTCCCTCGAAGCAGAGCTTGCTCTTAGGTTCCCATCCTCCTGCTAGCAAATCTCCCACATGAGGATGTTAGTACTGGTCCTACAAAGCTGCCGCCTCTCCATCTTGTACAGATCCTAACCAGAACTATCTGATGCCTCCTCCAATGCCAGTTCTTCAGCCACATGTTCAATTCTTAAATTCTCTTATTTCTGTGCTCACTAGCACATGGACTAGAAAGAGTTGTGAGATTACTGCTTTGGAGATCCTACTTTTCAATCTGCATTCATACCTCCTCTCCTTTCCTATCTAAATCGCTGGTACTTACGTGGGCATGGCAGAGTCATATTAGCACAGAAACAGACCCTTTGGTCCAACTCATCCATGCCAACTAAATTTTCCAAACTAAATTAGTTCCACTTGTCTGTATTTGGCCCATATCCTTTAAGGTGAGAGGGAAAGATATAAGAGGGCCCTCAGGGGCAACTTTTTCATGGGGTGATGCGTGTAGGGAATGAGCTGCCAGAGGAAGTGGTGGAGGCTGGTACGATTACAACATTTAAAAGGCATCTGGATGGGTATATGATTGGGAGGATTTAGAGGAATATGGGCCAAATGCTGGCAAATGGGACTAGATTAATTTAGGATATCTGGCTGGCATGGACGAGTTGGACTGAAGGGTCTGTTTCCATGCTGTGCAGCTCTATGATTCTAAATGTTTGCTATTCATGTACCTGTCCAAATGTCTCTTAAATATTATAACTGTTTGGTCGGTTACTAATAAACAGACTCCAGCCGCCTCTGGCAAGGCCTGAACAACATTATGGGACTCAAAATGAAGCAGAGCAAAGACACATCCCTCACTGATGCACTCCATGCTTTGTATGCTCGATTTGAGCAGAATGCCAGCAGCGTGGTGTCACCAGCCCTGACAGCCCCGGTTGCAGCTGTGCCCACTGTCACTTTTGCAGACGTCAGATCGGCCTTCCTGGGAGTCGAGCTGAGGAAAGTGACAGACCCAGACGGAGTCTCAGGATGAGCACTTGGATCCTGTGCAGACCAACTAGCAGAGGTATTCACCGACATCTTCACCCTCTCTCTCCTACAAGCCAAAGTCCCCACCTGCTTCAAGAAGACCACCATCATCCCAGTACCTAAGAAAGCATGTGCAACGTGCCTTAATGATTACCTCCCAGTGGCTCTGACCTTAATAATCATGAAGTGCTTTGAGAGGCTGGTCATGGCCCACATCAACTCTAGTCTCCCAGCCAGCCTTGATTTTTTGCCCCTACAGTTTGCCTACCGACACAACAGGTCCACAGCGGATGCCATTTCCCTACCCCTGCACTCAGCCCTGGAACATCAGGACAACAAACACACCTACGTCAGACTCCTAGTCTTCAGCTATAGCTCCACCTTCAACACTATTAACCCCTCCAGACTGATCTCAAAACTCCATGACGTTGGTTTCAGCTCCACCCTCTGCAACTGGCTCCTTGGCTTTCTGACCCAAAATCTGCAGTTGGTGAAGATAGACAACTGCACCTCCTCCACGATTACACTCAACACTGGAGCCCCCCCAAGGATGTGTCCACAGCCTCCTACTGTCTGTACACAATTATGTTGCCAAATTCTGAACAAACACCATCTTCCAAGTTTGCTGACGATACCACCATGGTAGGACAGATATCTAACAAAGACAGGTCAGAATACAGAAAGGAGATAGAAGGCTTGGTGACATGGTGCAGCGAGAACAACCTCTGTCTCAACATTGGCAAAACTAAAGAACTGATCATTGACTTCAGATAGAAAGAATGAGAACATGCCACCCATCTACATAAATGGAACTGCGGTTGAGAGGGTGGAGAGTGTCAAGTTCCTCGGAGTGACGATAAACAACAACCTGTCCTGGACCTCCCACATACATGCGGCAGTCAAGAAGGCACATCAACACCTTCTTCCTCAGGCAGCTCAAGAAATTTGGCATATCCATAAGGACCCTCACCAATTGAAAGCATACTGTCTAGGGGCATAATGGCCTGGTGTAGCAACTGTTCTGCCCAGGACTGTAAGAAACTACAGAAGGTTGTGTGCACAGCACAGACCATCACCAAAGCCAACCTTTCATCTATACAGCCTTTCTGCTCCTATGATGCTGGTTGGCCTGCTGTGTTCATCCAGCCCTGCACCTTGTTGTCTCTTTCATCCATACACTTAATTTACACGGCTCGTTGCTGTTGAAAGGCTGTCAACAAAGACCCATCACGCCCCAGCCATGCTCTCCTACATGCACTTCCAACAGGCAGAAGATACAGAAGTTTGAACGCAAGCACCAGCAGGTTCAGGAACGGCTTCTTCTCGGCTGTTGTTAGACGGATGAATGGACTCTCTGGTTTCAAAATAATGCTGATCTTGCAAATATTAACCTTGCCTAGCGCACACCCTGTGCAATGTAACCTGAGTTTTTTTTTTCAACCTATGATCTGTCTGTACTGCTTGTAAATAAAGCTTTTTCACTACATTTAAGTACACGTGACAATAAATCAAATTCAAACTGTACCTGTACCTACCACTTCCTGTGTCAGTTCATTCCACAGCTGAACCACCTTCTGTGAAAAGGTTGTCCCTCAGGTCACTTTTTAAAATCTTTCTCCTCTTCCCCTTCAAACAATACCCTCAAGTTTTGAATTCGCCTACCATAGGGAAAAGACTTTTGCTATCCACCTTATCACTACTCCTCTTTAATTTTATAAATGTCTATAAAGATCGCACATCAACCTTCTGTGCTTCGGTGAAAGAAGCCCTAGCCTATCTAGCTTCTCCTTATAACTTAAACCCTCCCGTCCCAGCAACGTCCTTGTCAATCTCTTCCAATTTAATAGTATTCTTCCTACAGCAGAGTGACCAGAACTGCATACAGTCCTCCAGAAGGAGCCTCGCTAATGTCCTACTCAACCTTAAAATGATGTCTCA